TGGATATAAAAAAAAAAGATCGAAAGTTTATGAACATCACTAAATTTAACCACCAATTAAAATAATACACGTGACATATTTAGTTTCGCCATGTTTCGGACGTTTTGCCAGATTTCGGAAATTACGCCAGGTTTCGAAAGTTTCGGAATAGCCAAAACCGAAACCTAAAATAGGCGAATGTTTCGCCAATCACAAAGAAGTTTCGCCCGAAACATTAGTCTTCACTTAGTGGATCCATAAGGTCATTATAAATCTGAAGATCGATTGTGTCAATGGGTTCATACCATTTTTTCCAGTTATCAGGCAATGGAACAAAATGGTGTCTAGTACTTGTTATTTATTGGAAGTGTCAGTTAGTTTCACGTTTGACATCATCAGCTGAAGTAAGTAGACCTAGATCATCAAGTGAGTTATCAAGGCATCTGTCCAGAACAATTATTTGTCTTTGTCTATTAAGGATAGAATCATACATCCTGGCTTGATCATCATGAAAATTATCACATCTGCATTGGAGAGCTGCTTTAATTTATTTCGTTTTATGTTTGTCTTCTTCTAATTTGATCGCAATCAAATGGACTTTAAGTAACTCAGAAATATTCTGTTTGATTGTGATGAGGTTAGAAAGTTAAGGGATGCCAATATGCAATTAGTTTAAATTATATTTTATCGAAATATCAAAAACTATGTTGTATGTCTGAGGCCAGTTTATCAATATGGAATTGAGACGAATGCATTTTTTTGTTATACGTTAAAACTTTGTATTAGAACCAATTGTTTATAAAGATTTTTCAGTAATCTTGGTCTGAGGTCACGAGAATATTGAGATGAGTACCTTGACAGGATACATTTTTCTGCTGCTTTTTTGATACATCCTTGCATGAGATCCTAGAAGAAATTGAGTGCGTATTTTGAGTGTAATCTATTTGAAGTGAGGTTGGTTAATTGACAGCTTCCAAGAAAACCATCTATCTTTTTACCAAATTGTGACCAAGAGTTGTCGTCTATAGCATCATAAAGGTAAATTTTCTTTTTGATATATTTTTTATCGTTATTTGAAGTAGCAAGTTCAGCTATATTTGCATTGATAGAAACTATTGAATGATCAGAAATGTTAGGATCAATACTGATAGTTTGGGTTTTGTTAAGGCCTGCTGCAATATGTGATATAATGTAAATATGATCGATTCTTGAAAGTTGATAGTGCGCAGTGTGAAAGAATAATGGGAATAGTTGATTAGCATTATCATATAGGAGATCGAATGAGTTGAAAAGTTGGAAGTCTTCAAGTTGGGTGAAGAAATAATTAGCATTTGACATATTATTAGAATGATTTGAAACTGCATTTAGGTTACCTAGTAATATAATTTACATATTAAGGTCTTTCGCTGATTTAATGACGTTGCAAACTTCTTTATATGTTTTGTTCTCGAAGGGTTGTATTTGAACTTGATATGTAGCAATTAATTAATCTGATGTGAAATTTATTGTGAAATTAAAAATTGACGAAAATATAATGTTCGTGTTGACCGTAATGTTTGCAAATATGATCAGCAATATTTTTTTTAATAAGAAGGCTAACTCTGAAACCTGAATTCTGTGATTGTTAATCAAAATTGAAAAAGTGCGAGTATTGGAACGAAGTTAATTTTGAAAATGATAAAGTATTATTAATTGATTTAAAGTTTATCTCTTGAAGGCCTATTATATCTATATAGTTAATTTCATAAGTATTGAGCAAGAATTGTTGTTATTGCAGTTGAACGAAAGAGCGAACGTTATGCGTCGCAATGTTGAGTTGAGAGGACAATGTATTATTAGTCAAAAATAAATTGTGAGTAGTGTTAGTATTTGTTGTTTTGTTGTTTGCTATCGGATCACTGGGGCTAACCTGTTTATAATTCTGTGAGATATCAATCATTAAAAATATTTGAGGGTGGAGCATAAAGACACCGTCAGATGTTTTTTCATAACTAGAAGGAGGAGCGACTTCTTCAATAGCAGTAAAAGCGTCTGGATTGATTTTAAGTTGTAATTATAGGATTCTTTGCATATTAGCGATGGCGTATCCTGCATTATTGAATTTAATCATATTATTTTTAAGGTTGTTTTTGAGGAGAGTATTCTCATCTCTTAAAGTGATTAATTCAGCAGATTATTTGGCGACAATATTATCTTTTATATCAGGACTAGTGATATAGGTATGCTCCTCAGTTTTCATACCATCTATATTAAATGATTTGTTTAGTAACTCTGCTTGGTGATGTTGATGTTAAGAACATTTTCAACTGTAGTAACTTGTTTCACAGTTAAGCGAAGATCTGAATCTATTTTAGCGAGTTACTCAGAGATAGAGAACAATTGATTAGAAATTTGAGTGAGCAATTCTGGTTGAGATGGTTGATTAGAGATATCATTTGTTATGCGGTATTCATCGTCAGTTTCATCCCAAAAATCTAATAGAGACAAACAAAATGAAGTATGTGATCTATTTGCATCACACTACTCGTCTTTCATTGGTGCCTCAATTCATATTTACCCTGAGGACTCAACAAAGAAAATCGTTCAAATTGGTTTTATCTCACATGCTGAAGCAAATAATGCAATTACACTTAAATTTCCATGTTTGGAAAATAACACATTTTTATCTCTTATAATCAAACCAATTGCTAAGTATATCCCTGAGTTGTCGATCTGTCTCACTGAGATCCCGATCTCTACTACTGAATCAAATATTAGATCGACCTTCTCCTTTTTTGAAAAGATCTCCCGTTGCGTCATGTCTACTAAAAATCTTTGACAGCAAGCTACTCTCACTTTTGAACAAGACACAGATCTGACCACCTTAAACAAACTTAACAGCTATTTTGTTCTTAAAGATCTAATCAGGGTACACCCATGTACTATGTCAGTCGAAGATGTTAGAAAAAAGTTAGAATTTTCTTTGAAATTAACTAACCTCCCACTTGACACAAATGGGCATCATTTAATTTCTATCGGTAACGCCATTGAAGCGATTGCCTAGGTTATCCCCAAATCACGTGCTAATTACAGAAATTTACAATATGCCATCTTTTATTTTAAAACTAAAGAATCTATGGACGTGGCAAAAAATGGAAAAACTTATTTCTTTAATAGAAAACGATTAATCTGAACTGATCCAAATGCAAAACTTTGCTTCATTTGCCAAATTCCAGGCTACCAATCGTAGAATTGTCGCAAAAACTGTTTAGCTTCACAAGATCGTCAAACTCAACACCTATACCAATGCTACCAGCTGACACAGTTTCGTAATTACAAAGCACCTGTCATTGTTCCTAAATCACTACTCAACTTAAAGAAACCACTGTCTATAGATAAACAAAAACTGCTCTAATACCGAAATAATGTTAAAGATAAACCTAAGCCAGATAACGTCAACAATTTGCCCAATAATAGAACAAGAGTTCTACAGCCTGAAACACTAAACAAAGATCATAATCAACAACGTATCACCCTCATTCGTCCTATCAATGATAAAGGAGAACAAACTTTAGATGCTAGCATACATGCATCACATCATTGGGCTGATGAAACTGATGACGAATATCACATAACAAATGATATCTCAAATCAACCATCTCAACCAGAATTGCTCACTCAAATTTTCAATCAATTGTTTTCTATCTCTAAACAACTCGCCAAAATGGATTCAGATCTTCGCTCAACTGTGAAACGAGTTGCTACAGTTGAAAAAGTTTTTAACATCAACGTCTTACTTCCTTACCAAGCAGAGTTACTAAACAAATCATTCAATGAAGATGGTATAAAAACTGAGGAGCATACCTATACCACCGGTCCTTATACAAAAGATAATATTGTCACCAAACAATCTGCTAAACTAATCACCTTAAGAGATGAAAATGCTCTCCTCAAAACTAACCTTGAAAATAATATGATTAAACTCAATAATGCAGGACGCGTTATTGCTAACATGCAAAGAATTCTATAATTACAACTTAAAATCAATCCAGACGCCTTTACTTCTATTGAAGAAGTAGCTCCTCCTTCTAGTTATGAAAAAACATCTGATGGTATCTTTATCCCCACTTCCAAATATTTTTAATGATTGATATCTCACAGAATTATAAACGGGTTAGCCCCAATGACCTGATAGCAAACAACAAAACAACAAATACTAACACTACCCATAATTTATTTTCAACTAATAATAGATTGTCCTCTCGACTCAACATTGTGACACATAATGTTCGCTCTTTCATTCAACTGTAAAAATAACAATTCTTGCTCAATACTTATGAAATTAACCATATAGATATAATAGACCTTCAAGAGATAAACTTTAAATCAACTAATAATACTTTATCATTTTCAAAATCAACTTCGTCCCAATACTCGCACTTTTTCAATTTCGATCAACAATCACAGAATTCAGATTTCAGAGTTAGCCTTCTTATTAAAAAAAATATTGCTGATCATATTTACAAACATTACGGTTAACACGGACGTTATATTTTCGTTGATTTTCAATTTCGCAACAAATTCTGCATCAGATTGATTAATTGCTATATATCAAGTTCAAACACAGCACTTCGAGAACAAACATATAAAGAAGTTTGCAACATCATTAAATCAGCAAAAGACCTCAACATGGAAATTATATTACTAGGTGACCTAAATGCGGTCCTAGATCATTCTAATAACATATCAAATGCTAATTATTTCTTCACCCAATTTGAAGATTTCTAACTTTTCAACTCATTCGATCTCCTATATGATAATGCTAATCAACTATTCCTATCATTCTTTCACGCTACGCACTATCAACCTTCAAGAATCGATCATATTTACACTAACTTTTTGATCTTACTACAATCAAACAGAATATTTCTGAGTTACTTAAAGTCTATTTGATTGCAATCAAATTAGAAGAAGACAAACATAAAATGAAACAAATTAAAGCAGCTCTCCAACGCAGATGTGATAATTTTTATGATGATCAAGCCAGGATGTATTTTTCTATTCTTAATAGACAAAGACAAACAATTGTTCTGAACAGATGCCTTGATAACTCACCTGATGATCTAGGTCTACTTATCTCAGCTAATGATGTCAAATGTGAAACTAACTGACACTTCCAACAAACAATAGGTACTAGACGCCATTTTGTTCCATTGTCTGATAACTGGAAAAATAGTACGAACCCATTAATACAATCAATCCTCAGATTTATAATAACTTTATAGATTTACTAAGTGAAGACGAATAGAACAGACTTCTTCAAACATTACCTAATGATAAAGCTCCCGGTCCTTCCAAAATTTCAAATGAGATGTTGAAACATTTAGACTCTAAAATGAAACATATTTTTTGGATCTTCACTTGTGTCTATCTGAAACTTTCCTGCATACCTAACAGATGGAATTTGGCTTTTGTCTATCCCATCCCAAAACCCAAACCATGGGAATATAACTTAATTAATACTCGCTCTATTACTTTGTTAAAATACCTTCGAAAAGCAATCGTGAAATTAATTAATAAACAGCTTTTGGATATTCTCTCAAAAAATTCCATCTTACAAGGAAAAAATTTCGCTGAACTACTGTTTTGTTCTACATTCGAACCCATTCACATTCTCGACAACATAAAATATGATCAATTATCACATAAGAGCAAACAACTTTGGATCCTGTTCCAAGACATATCAAAAGCTTATGACAGAGTTAATATCGCAATGTTAACTCGTATGCTTTATCGTCTGCGCTTTTTTTCATCATTTCTCCATTTTGTATTTTCCTTATTCTCTAATCGCTTTAATCAAATTTTTACAGCTTATGGAAATACAGATCATTACTCAGTTATCTTAGGTATTGATCAAGGTGAAATTATTTCACCAATACTGTGGTATATATATTACGATCCCTTATTATGTCATATACAAAATAACGATCTTGGTTATAATCTATCAGCTGAATGGTGCCCACATATCAGTAATACCTCAATATCCGCAGTTTTAACACAAGTCTCCACACTTGCCTATATGGATGATACCCTTTGGATCAGTAAATCTAAGGATGATCTTGAGTCAATCTTAATAATAACTAATGACTTTTACCAACTTAATAGTATTCTAGTCAACTGGAATAAATCTGTATTACTTTCTTCAATACCAATAACATCATTATACACTTTAGACTAGTACACAATGAAGAATGGATTAAACCAATGGACCTTAAATTATTTACTCGTTATCTCAGTATTTAGATTTCTCTCCTTCCAAATTGCCAGTTTATAAGACAACAAGTAAAGAATGAAATTCAAAATGCTACCTTGACAATAAAAAAGAAATTCCTCACAGATAAACAACTCAAAGTAGTCTTTAACTCAGTCCTCTTGCCAAGAATTCTGTATTACATTCAATTAACTTTTCTTGATTACAAATTCTGTGATCAGATTATGGGATCATATCGAAAAGTTTTTAGGTTAAATCTACACTTATCTAAAAGTACCCCAGCAATTATCATTCATTCGTCATTACTTTACAATATTACACACTTATACACAGTACAGATACAAACAAAAATTTCTAATTTCATCAAATCTATTAATGATAAAGGGTTATTAGGCACTATATCTTTAATCTATTCTAGATTACTTCAAAACAATGAATGGCTCACTAAATCACCCCTAGCATTTTGGCTGTATAATGATTCCTTCAAATTTAAAGACTAGTGGTCTGCTCTGCTTTTTACACTAAAATCATTTAACATCACTATCTCTAATAGCAATACTGAGGCTAATTGTATAAAAGGAGGACAATTTCCCTTAAGTGAAATTTTCACAAAAAAAGATTACCACACCTTTGCTCCAATTTTAAAAAGCAAACAACTGATGTTTCTTGACTAGATTATAACATCAGATGGTGTAGCACTTTTCACATTATCTGACCTCAAATTTTCTGCAACTCGTCTGGCAATTCTCAAGGCTCCTGCTTGGTTTCTCAAATTACAATCATTACTTATATCATCACCTAACACAAGAATTATTTCTTCAAATTATCATCACCTACATACCAATAATATATACTCGATTCTTCTGACCCATATTAATAGTATTACACATTTTGCTGTAGGTTAACACTTAAATTCCCATTCTGCTATAGTCAGGAAAGTACTCAGAATTGATAATGATATAGTTTACTTACAATATTTTTTTGCCTCGCCAGACCATACCTTCAAAACTTCACTTATACCATGCAATAAATGCTCTCTCAATGATGATTCTTCCTTTGTTCCTTCTAATATGAGAAATAAACAGAAAGCCTGCTTTGTGATGTTACCTTTACACCTATGTACTGACATCAAGGCTCCCCTCCTTCCAAATGTTGGTCATATCTGTTCTTTATTCCTTATATACTTTATGAAATAGCTTTATATAGTTACAATTTAATTGATAATAGTATACTTAATATCTCCCCCACCTTGTCTTCTCCATCTCTAACACCTGAACAAATTTTTAATATAGAAATCCTCAATAGTTTAGACAACTTTAAAATTTATTTCATACAATCAACTAACCTCTCATTTTATACTGATGGTTTCCTTATCAATTTAGGTACTTCTTCGATCTATATGGACGTGACCTGGTTGCAATCTGATTCTTCAGTACCTCTACTTTCCTTTAATGCTTCACTTATCCTTTCTCAACCTTCATCTTCTCTAGCAGAACTAGTAGCAGTACTATCTGTTATATATGTAGCATCTACAAATGCTACAGTTAATATTTTCACAGACTCACAAAATGTCATTTCATCTTTTGATAAAATGAACTATTTCTACACCTTCTCCTCTACCTTTAACCCCATTTTTAAAATCTCCTTTTACTCAATTTGGTTCCTTGTCATAAAGTTAATCAAGGAAAAGTCTATTTCTGTTGAATTTCACAAAGTCAAAGCTCACTTAGATGATCATTACAATAATATAGTTGATGCATTAGCAAAAGCTGATAGTTCTCCAATCACTCTGAATAACAAATTTCTAGGACACCATTATAATCTCTATTTTAACGAGGATATTATACTTATACCATCTAGATTATTTGTGAAAGACCTTTTCAGATCAATCGATTTTCATAATATACAACTACTTCCTCACTTTAAAAAATACAGTATAATGGATATAGATTGGATCTGAACCTCTTTCATTCTCAACGATAATGAAAACAACTCTTATACATCCTTCAAAGCCTTTTTTATTCGCAAATTTAAAACCAAGTTTATGCTTGAACTGCTCCCT